AGGTTCCAATGATTTTGTTCATTCATCATCATCTAGTGAGAACTTTCATGTAAAGATTTAGTTATGGGACTTGAGATCAAGACATGGTGGATGTCTGGAGGTTCTTTCAAAGTACTTTAATGAGTTTTGCATAAGACAAGGGATAAAACACATTTGATTGTTAACACTACAACAAATACTACTTTTTATGACGTAGATTTTACCACGTACAATAAAAAATTGTGGATACAAGTAATGGGAGCACCTTGTTTTATTATTTCTTTAAAAAAATTAATATGTTCCATCAATTTTAAATAAAACCAACATAAATATATCATCAGGGTTTGAGATTCGATTCTCAGCTCCCGCAATTTAATGTTTTATATGGAACCTAAAAGGCGCCTTTATTTTTTATAGATTTTACATTAGACATGTTACTTCGGTTTTCAGTAAAACCGAGATAACAACTACATAATTTTTTAATTTTTTGGAACAAAAAACGCGCCTTTATTTTTTATAGATTTTATGTCGGATATGTTACCTCGGTTTTCAGTATAACCGCGATAAATACTCTTTATAATTTTTATTCCCTCAGTGTCTACCTCGTTCACTTTCCGAGCCCTAGCGAAATAACACTTTTTCTCCAGCCAACAAACAAACTCTATCACTATTATTTCCCAAGGAGCCATAGCGAACGAAAAAACTCTCTCACCATTAATTCTCCGGTATGTTCTTATTATTGTTCTCCATTATTGTTGTTCTTGTTGTTCTCCATTAATGTTGTTATTGTTGATAAGCTTTATTTTTGTTGGTTGTGTACTATTTTTATTTTATTTTCATAAGCTTTATGTGTATGAATCGTAGTTGGATGAAAGCCAATAGACTAAGTAAAGAGAATGAGAATGGAGTGTTATAATTTCTTGATTTCACGGAAAAAACTTCCTGACAATAATGATATTTTTTGGTGTCCTTGTATGAAATGCTATAATATGAAAAAAAATATTCAAGGGATGTCATATTCAATCATTGTGGTTGTGACGGATTTATTCAAAATTACACGAAATGAGTATGGCATGATGAAGGGACAAAAAGCGACCTTTGTCACATACAATTGGAGATGAAGATGATAAATTTATGACCGATAATCTAGAACACATCATTCGTGATATTGGAGTAGATGCTTTCAAGAAAGCTAATATGGTAGATACTTTACAAAGAGACATGGAATATTCGTTGTATCTGGGATGTAAAAGTTTTACAAGATTGTCAGTTATGTTAAGACTACTTAATCTTTAGGCAAGGGGTGGGTGGACGGATAAAAGTTTCACTGAATTTCTTGAATTGTTGAAAGAAATGCTTCCCGAAGGTAACACGTTGTCGAATCGTACTTATGAGGCCAAAAAAAATATTGTGCCCAATGGGTTTAGAATATGTCAAATACGTGCATGTCGTAATGATTACATATTATATAGGAAAGAGTTTGAAAACTTGTAGGAGTATCGAGGTGTGGAGATTCCCACTACAAGCAGAAGGACAATGATGGTGCAACTATCAAGGGTGTTGAAGACGGTGATGGTGCAACTAGCAAAAGTGTTCCTGCCAAGGTGATGTAGTACCTACCGATAATTCCAAGGTTCAAGAGATTGTTTGCTAATGTTAGTGACACAAAGAATACTATATGGTATGCAGATGAAAGAGCGCGTGATGGAAAAATTCACCATGTAGCTGATTCAGTGTAATGGAAGAAAATTGATTCTTTGTTTCCAGATTTTACCTTTTAACCGAGGAATCTTAGGCTTGGACTTGCTATCGACAGAATGAACCCTTTTGGTAATTTTCATACTAACCATACGTCATGGCTTATTTTTTTCGTGATTTAAAACCTACATCCATGGTTGTGTATGAAGCACAACTATATGATGTTATCAGTGATGATTTCAAGTTAAAGACAACCAGGGAAAGACATAAATGTTTATTTAAAGTCAGTGATTGAAGATTTAAGACTTTTGTGGGAGGAAGGTGTTGATGTTGATGATGGGTATACATATGCTAACTTTAAGTTGTATGCCATGTTGTTTTGCACAATCAATGACTTTCCTGCATACAGTAATTTATCTGGGTATAACATTAGGAGTCATAAAGCGTGCCCTATATGTGAAGTTGATACATGTCACCACCAATTACAAAAAGGAAAAAAGACAGTTTATCTTGGGCATCGAAAATTTCTAAGACCTAATCATCCATATCATAGATTGCATAAGACTTTTAAGGTGAGTAGGAGTTTGGTATCGCTCTAAAGCCCTTAATCGGGAAGGAAGTTTATATAAGACAACAACACATTAATTCTGACTTTAAAAAGAAACAAAAAAAGCCTATAGAGAAAAGTTCTTGAAAAAAGAGGTCAGTATTCTTTGATCTTCCATACTGGTCTAGTCTTGATGTGGTGCACGTGGAGAAAAATATATTTGATAATTTGATTGGAACACTTCTCAACATTAAAGGCAAGAAAACAGATACTAAGAAATATCGAGAAGATATGGTTGAGATGAGTATACAACAAAAATTATCCATAAAAGAAGTAGGAAATATAACCTATTTACCCCAACATGTCACACTCTGTCTAAAAAATAAAAACGTTTTTGTGATTGTTTGTAGGGTATCAAAGTTCTCCCAATGATACTCATTAGTTGTGAAGAAACTTGTGTAAGAGATTTTAACTATGAGACACCTTGTTTAGAAACTAAATTTTTAATTGTTCTTCAAGGAAAACATCTTCCCAATAGTACTGATGAAAATCAATATTTTGACTATGAGACACATAGTTTATCAGCACATGTACGTCAATCATCTGAAGAAAATGATTCAGATGATGTATATGTTATTCGTCGTGATCATGGATAGGGGATATGGGAAAACTAGTAAGTAAAATGGTTTATTGCTTTTGTTTCTTAATCACTTGTTTTATTTTTGATGTAGTTTTCGATTTGCATTTGGTGTAATCAATGAATATTGTGGTACAATGTTTCAGATTGAAAAATTGAAAAAATGTACAATGTCTCCGTTTTAAGAATCTGCAAAATATGGTTCTATATTCTAAAATATGGTTATGTAATACATGTGTAAACGACAATACAAAAAAAAATATCCCTTCGGTTTTACATTAAATCGAGGTAGTAACATTGAGATATTACCTCAGTTCTATAAAACATCGAGTGTTAATATTGGGAGCGTTATTCAATTTCGAAAATAATAAAAATGTTGATGCTGGGGATCCAACCCACATGCAGATAACTTTACTCCTCAACATTTTAATAACCGAGGTGTTAAGTGGTAACTTTTCACGACGTCTTTTGTTGCCCCGCTTCCGTTGCTGTCATGTATGATGTTAGATGTGTTTTTTGTAGTAACGTAAGTTTTCATGGAGTTTCTAGGATAAAGCTAGTGCCAAACAACTTACGTGATTAACACATATTCATTTAAATAAATAGACTTATAAACACTTATGGTGGTTTATAGTAGGAAGATTCTAATTTACTCTCTTTTGATGGTCGTCAAAACTTTTTTTATTGACCAAACCAAGCAAATTCAACTTGATGGTAAAGTTATTAATTATGTCTTCAATGGCTATCCAAGAGCAAGGATAAGTTATGAGCTATTGAGAGTGGAAGTTGGAAGATTGAAGTTCATAAAATGCAGATGTATTACTTTCGGTGAGTCTCATCAAATGAATAAGAGTGAATACCTAGGGACAAAACTTTTAAAAACTATAGCGGAGAAGACTCAGTTTGAGGTGAAGGTCCCTATTATTTGACTCATAATAAGATAATGAGGAAAATTATGTTGGCCTTGGGTGCTATGCTTTGAATGTGACTAAAAGGTTGTAAAACTAAAAAACTGGAATCATTAGGGAGGCATTCAAAAGTAGGTGGAGTCAAGATGGTTGAAAACTCATACTTTTTGGCTTGTTAGACTATTAAAACATAAAAGTATGGTTGAAAGTAAGTGGATGCAAGTGGCAAGATCAAGGTTCAAGCATGAATTTAACTTGATGTTTTTTTTTTTAAATTGGCAGAGAGAAGCAAGGTAGTTCATGGATAAATTGACATTGCAATATTTTGAAGTCATCATGGAGATTGTTGAAGTATGCTTTAAAAAGTTAAGTGATAAAGAGAAAAGAAATATATTTTGAGATTGCAGAAACTAGAAATCAACCTAGAGGTAGAGCCGATGACGACGACACAATAGTGGGTTTGGGTCTGGCTGACATTTCGATCTGTTAGAGCTCGGGTCAAATTTTCTCAATTTGCGTCTATTGGGCTTCTTTGTTTTGGGCCGTGGAATCATTTATTGATGAGTTGAGTTTTGGACTGGTTATGGATGCATTTGTTAACGGGTAGAATTTTGGGCTTGTTATGTTTTCGTTGGATTTTAACCGTTATCAATATATTTCTTAATCATTTTTATCTTAACAACCTTTTGAATTTTAGAATTTGAAAGATCGAGAGATAAAGTGATATTAGTATAGAGTTTGAAAGATCGAGAGAGGAAGTGACATTAGTAGAGGAAATATACAGAGACAAGAGTTGAAATTTTAGTTCTTGGATCTTATATTCTTTTGCAAGTAAAATATTAATCTTATTGCATAAAAATATATTTTATAGGTTTATAAGCTATTGTTATAAATTTATTTGCTTTAAATGAACAATAGTACAAATTTATGTTATAGTCTAACTTATCATTTTTGTTTTTATTTACAAATAAAAGGAAATGATAAATGCGAGTGTTTTTTACGGTTAAATACTTATTAGTACTCCTTAAAATGTGAATACAAGGAAAAAATAAAAGGAAAAAATAAAAGGAATAATCAGGATTACGAGTCAATAAAAAAGAAAGAGCAATTCACCTGCTAAACTACCATAAGTCCCATAACCATTCATTCAATGACACACTCTATCCACTCACCACTGAACGCACTCGTTTCCGAAACCCAAAACCCTAACTCTCAGTTTCAATTTCCAACGATGGATAACGACGACCCTCGTAACGGCACCGAAGAAAACCACCGCGAGATCAAGAAACCAAAGCTCACTCACGCCATAACAGAACACGAGATCCGCCACGAATTCTCCCACCACGAAACCGCCGTCGCAAGAATCAACAACGGCAGCTTCGGAAGCTGTCCTAACTCCGTTCTCGCTGCTCAAAACTCCTGGCAGCTCCGCTTCCTTCGACAACCAGACGACTTCTTCTTCAACAAACTCCGAAAAGGAATTCTTGATTCTCGTTTAATCATCAAAGATATCATCAATGCTGATGACGTTGAAGATATCTCGCTCATTGATAATGCTACCACCGCCGCCGCGATTGTTCTCCAGCAATTCGGCCGCCGATTCTCCTCCGGTGAGTTTCGCGATAACGATTCTGTTATAATCTTCCATTGCGCTTATCAAGCCGTTAAGAAATCTATTGACGCTTATGTCATTCCCGTTGGCGGTTCTGTTGTTGAGGTCCAGCTACCTTTTCCTGTTCACTCCGATCAAGAAATTATCGCCGAGTTCAAGAAAGGACTCGAGCGAGGTAAAGTTAATGGTGGAAGAGTTAGGTTAGCGATAATTGATCACATTACGTCGATGCCTTCTGTTGTTATTCCTGTTCAAGAATTGATTAGAATTTGCAGAGAGGAAGAAGTGGATCAGATTTTTGTTGACGGTGCTCACGCCATTGGAAGCTTGCGCGTCGATGTTAAAGAAATTGATGCTGATTTTTACGTGAGTAATTTGTACAAATGGTTATTTTCTCCACCTTCTGTTGCTTTTATGTACTGTAACAAGAAATTGAAGGATGTGCATCACCCTGTGGTTGCGCATGAATATGGAAAAGGTTTACCTGCTGAGAGTGCTTGGGTTGGGATGCGAGATTATAGTCCTCAGCTTGTGGTGCCTACGATTTTGGAGTTTGTGAATCGGTTTGAAGGTGGAATTGAAGGGATTATGAGGAGGAACCATGATATGGTTGTGAAAATGGGGATTATCTTAAAGGAATCATGGGGAACGATTCTTGGTTCCCCGCCTGAAATGTGTGCTGGTATGATCATGGTGGGTTTGCCCTCGAAGCTTTGTGTGACGAGTGATGATGATGCTTTGAGGTTGAGGTTTTATCTTAGGGTTTATCATGCTGTAGAAGTTCCTGTATATTACCAAGCTCTGAGAGATGCTGAAAGGGATCCTAGAGACAAGGATGGGTTTATAACTGGCTATGTGAGGATTTCTCATCAGGTGTATAACACTGTTGATGATTACCACAGGCTCAAGACTGCAATTATTCAGATTTTGGAGGATGGAAAAATTTGCAGCAAGCTTCCTAAAGAGTGATTAGAAAATCAGAGAGAAAAACGAGGTACAATATCTATAGATATTCTACACGTCTGACTTGTTTTTGGTTTGGAAATAGCTTTAGCCTTGGCTTACGTTTTATGAGTATGCCCATTTTTGTTGTTCTGTATCATCTTGTTTTTCTGATGCAATAATTTTAGCCCAGAATTCTCAGAAAAACACTATAAATGAAGAAGTATTGCTGTTCCTAGTTGCTCTGTAAGATGTAAATTTGTATTGCACCTCAATCACTCTGATTTGGTTTCCATGTTGTCTATACTCTATCCTACTTATAATGCACAAGGGCTTTTGTTTTTGGTAGATTGGTTTAGAATTTGATATTATGAATAATATTTCTACAGAAGTTTCTAAGATTGTCGAGTAATTAGTCGGGGTTCTATATTGAAGTTTCATTCTACTATACTTTGAGTTTAAACTTTTTCGTTTTCAATCTTGATGATTTATTGTCTGACTTACGAGTTTTGACCTCAAAATTGACACGTTTTTGTTTAGGAAATTGCTTAACATCTCGAAACCATTAATCATGACTTGTCACGAAACAATGTTATTGGTCATTCACCTGTGTTTTCCTCCAACATCTTATTGAGTAGTTTAGTCTAGATTTTTTAAAAAGTAACACATGTATTGTTGCGACGTTGGTGACTGGTTTTTGTCGTGACGTTGGTGACTGATTTTTGTCGTGACGTTGGTGACTGATTTTTGTCGTGGCGTTGGTGACTGATTTTTGTCGTGACGTATATCATTGCTCTTGCCTCTTACGCTTTTCTCTTTGTACTTTTGCTGTATGTATCTTTTATAAACCATGTAACCCTGGTTACATATTAGTGTCAATTTACACAATTTTACCTCAATTTGGCGTTCCTATAATTCTCTGGAGCTGCAGTTTTACTACTTTTTACTTCTTTCAGTGTCGGATTGTCTTTCTTAGAGAAATATGCAGGATTTTTAATAGTTCTTTCTAAATTTTTCTAGTAAGTTGATTATTTAAAAAAACCCTTATCAGTTTTGTGGCTTGTTTTGAATCTTGAATAGAATCAAAGATGTTGAATTATGCGTCTTATGCTTCTCTTCTCTCACTTGGTTTGGAATAATATTAAGCTTTTGGAGTCTATTTGGTGTAAAGCAACGACCTTTTTATCTGGGGTTTCACTTACTGATACTATTTGAAAGAATTGGGCAACTTTATTACACTGAATTTTTTTCCTTGATTGTTTTATACTTTTTCTGTCATGATTTTTTCCCCTGATTGTAATATACTTTTCTGTCATGATTTTTTTCCTTATTGTTTTATACTTTTTCTCTCATGATTTTTTTCCTTGATTGATTTATACTTTTTCTGTCATGATTATTTTCTTCCTTTTAATAGTGGGATTCCTTGTTTTCCCATCTTTTTTTCAATTTTCCTCTTTTTGCTTGAATGGTTTTCTTCTTTTGTAACAAAATAAACAAAGGAGTTGATAGACTTTGCATTTAGTATAAAAAACTTTTGTACTAACAAATAAACAAAGGAGTTGATAGATCTTGCATTTAGTATAAAAGATATCTTATTTGCATCCAGTTATATCTCATCATAATGTTCCTTTGTTATATTAAAGTATCTTTTCACAAATATCTAAATGGTGTGATATGATTGGGTGCATTTGTATCTTTTTTCAAAAAAAGAGTAGTCTTTAAACTCAATAAATTTGTTGTCTACCCCTTTCTATGTCTCATGTATAAATATTTATTAGAATAGTGACTCTCAGACATATGAGATGGGTTTGGGAAAGGATCGTAGCAACTCCTCCCGAGAGAGGATCGACTTTTTACAATGCCACTAATAATTTAATGATTTAGTTTAATGATCTTGATCTCCGACATATATTTGCTACCTTCGACTTAAGGAGCAATTGAACGGAATGTGGTAGCTTTTCAGCCCCCAACTTTTAAAAATTACTGACCACAAAAATGGCAAAGCCACCGCTGTCATTTGTTGAAAAGTCTGGGATTCAGATCTTACTTGCTGAGAGTGGTGTTCTGAGCACTATGTGTAAAATGAATAATAAATAATCAAGCGTATATTGAGACCATTAAGTATATATTAGACATCTACATGTGTGATGCACGGATCGGTTTTATAAATTATTACAAATAAATATTTATTTAGATAAACATAGAAGATATTTTTATTAATATTTTTAAAATTTTATTTTTGATCGTACCTGATCAGAAGGGATTGTCAAGGTCCACGAACTTCAAGTCGAATAATGGTTGAATGTGAAATGGGGGGTACCTGCAAGACATTTTGATGTCAAAGGTTCAGAGTAAATACAAGTGTGAGAGTACGAGTGAATGCATGAATACCTGATCCTCTCAAGTGAGAGGGTATTTATTGCCTCCAGTGTTGGGTCAAGGTCCCCATTGTTGGGTTGATCAAGCAGGTCCAAAATAGAGATTGTCAGGTTCTACGTGTGTGGTGGAGGTCAACACATAATCTCCAACCTGAATGGACTCCTCTAAATTATCAGGATGACGTGGATGCGGTCTTTTTGGGGTCAAGAGAACTCTGTGACATTCGGGGGCGTTGGGTGCCTGCCCTACGAGGAGGGTGCTCGCGAGGACCTCCTAAGTGTCTTCGGTCCTCCTTGTCAGTCACGAGGTTGTCCTCGGAGGACATATCCTGATCGACGAGAGGAGTGGAATCACTGCCCAACATTGTCAGGAGCAGGCTCTCTCATGCTGGTTTTCTCTTGTAGCATAGTTGGACTGGGCCTTGTATTTTGGACCAAGTGTAAGGCCAGTCCAGAAAAAGAGCTCCCAAGTCATTGCTCCTGAGGAAAATAATTATGACTTAAGATCAACTTCCCCGTATGGTGAACATAGTTTTGTCGGGGTCCCCTATCACATCGAAGGACGGGGTCATTTTTATACGCAACTACTCGAGTGGAGATTGAAGTGTGTTCACGGAGAAAATTTACCCGCTCCTCGATTTGCGTGGAGACGAAAGTTCGCAGGATGTTTGCTTCGTAAGTCGTATGGTGTAGCTTCTGGTTGCGACTGCTCGAGTGGAGATTCGAGTGTGTTCACGGAGAAAATTTATCTGCTCATCGATTCGCGAGGAGACGAAAATTCGCAGGATGTTTACTTCGTAAGTCATGTGGTGTAGCTTTTGGTAGAGAATGATGGCCTAGGGAGTAGGGGTCATTGTGACCCTGAACGCGTGGGCGGCGAAGAGACGAATAGTTGATACGCTGCTCGACGCGATGCTTCGTCTTCCGCGCCAGCCTTATAAATAGCGCCTCATGGCTTATTTATAGCAATTTCAAGTTCTCGCTCTCTCCTTTCTCCCTACTGTCCTCAATTTTCTACCGCCCTCAATTTCCTTCTCCAACCGTAAGCACCTCCATAGCTTCCGCCGCAGAATCTCTACGAACCCTAATCAAGTAAGTGTTTTTCAATGATTACTCTTGTTTATAGTTGGGTTTTTGACAAATTTCATGGATTTCCTGATGAATTTCACTATCCGGGGGAGTTTTACTCGGGATATTCATACCTCTCTTCGTGATACTCACGAAATGGCTCGTGAAACTCATCCGCTCCCCGCAAAACTCATGAAATTGCTCGGGGAATTCATCCCCTCCTCGCAATGTTCATGGGATTGCTTAGGGGATTCATCTTATCCTCGTCACCTTTACGAGGTTGCTCGAGAGATCTATATTCTCCTCATGGCGTTCACGAGTTTGTTTGCTTTTAATGAATGAGGGTCCGTCGACATGGGTTTGGTCGTATTAACCCCCTTTCACTTGTGTTGCGGTGGAAGGGTGGATTTGATTTAGTTGTCGAATTCACTGGTTTCCTCTACTTTATAGGTGAAATGGCCGAACCAGTCGAGACACCTGAGCAGGTCGAGATAGAAAAAACGAGTGGAACCGACGAGGGTGTCCACTTGATCAAAACTGTTACCGATCCGTCATTGTCATGTGTCGGGCTAGAGCCTCGAGGAATAGCCTCGGTCTTTAGCCATACAAGGAGGGAGGCGTACACCGTCGTCGAATATGGCGGCAACCAAGATGGTTTCAAGCGAAATTTCATGATCTTTTATGATCTTTTGCCCGACACCTACGGGCAGAATATGCTCGTCTTTTCCGGAAGACCGCTTCCCCATGTACAAGATTGTCTTCATGGATATTCATACCTCTCTTCGTGATACTCACGAAATGGCTCGTGAAACTCATCCGCTCCCGCAGAACTCATGAAATTGCTCGGGGAATTCATCCCCTCCTCGCAATGTTCATGGGATTGCTCAGGGGATTCATCTTATCCTCGTCACCTTTACGAGGTTGCTCGAGAGATCTATATTCTCCTCGTGGCGTTCACGAGTTTGTTTGCTTTTACTGAATGAGGGTTCGTCGACATGGGTTTGGTCGTATCAACCCCCTTTCACTTGTGTTGTGGTGGAAGGGTGGATTTGATTTAGTTGTCGAATTCACTGGTTTCCTCTACTTTACAGGTGAAATGGCCGAACCAGTCGAGACACCTGAGCAGTTCGAGATAGAAAAAACGAGTGGAACCGACGAGGGTGTCCACTTGATCAAAACTGTCACGATTCGTCATTGTCATGTGTTGGGCTAGAGCCTCGAGGAATAGCCTCGGTCTTTAGCCATACAAGGAGGGAGGTGTACACCGTCGTCGAATATGGCGGCAACCAAGAGGGTTTCAAGCGAAATTTCATGATCTTTTATGATCTTTTGCCCGACACCTACGGGCAGAATATGCTCGTCTTTTCCGGAAGACCGCTTCCCCATGTACAAGATTGTCTTCAGGGATCTGGGGCTTTGTCTGCCCTTCAATGACTTTTAAATGGGCGTCTTCAATCATTTGTCCTTGTCACCCTCCTAACTGCACCCCAACGCAATTGTTTTTATACGGGCTTTCGAGATTACTTGCTGATACTTGAGGATTGAGGTGACGATTCCTTTGTTCTTCGGGGTTTTCCATCT